ATGTATCCTATCCTCAGTACATAATGGACTAATGATCAAAATAAAGGTTAGAATGTATCCTATCCTCAGTACATAATGAACTAATGATCAAAATAAAGGTTAGAATGTATCCTATCCTCAGTACATAATGGACTAATGATCAAAATAAAGATTAGAATGTATCCTATCCTCAGTACATAATGGACTAATGATCAAAATAAAAACGATCTTCATGGGTAAGCAAATAATGCATCCAATATTCAGACCAGGCCGACTTTGAAAACCAGGGATACTCGAACCCTCATTTTAGGGTTAGTTTTTAACGATTCACTTTTTAAAGTCTTATTAAAAAAACTTTTCCTTTTAGATTCTGTGTAATTCTGTAGTTTCTTTTATAATTTTTTATAGTAAACTTTGAAGACAAAATCAAAAATTGATAATCGTTTTTAGTATGCAAAATGATTTTGTTATTTATAATCGCAAATTAAGATCCGAATAATGTATTGTAAGATGTATTATTGTACTAGACTGGTTTCGTAACTTGTAATATACTTTTTAACATTTTCTTTCATAACTTTATTCAGGAAGAGGAAGGGAGAGGAAGGGAGGGGAAGGAAGGGGAAGGGAGGGGGGATATTTCAAACATTGAAGGAACAGGGTAAAGTTAAAAGAAATAATAAAAGAGAGTTATGAGCAGATATTTCTTTAAAAAGGATTTCTCTGAAAGTATGGTTTCAATAAATAAAAATAATTCAAAGAAATTCTTCTCTCGTTTAATTCTTTTTCAAAACCTCCATTTTTGAAAATTGCCTTTTACAACACTCTTTCATTGATAAAGTAAACTGAAAAATATAAGAGTGAATTAAAGAGATTAGCAATTTCTAATACTGAATTGAATTGCAAATACTAAAATGTATTTTTGTGTTTATGTTTAAAATAAAAACCTTTTCACCTTTCTTGATGATACTTATCTTTTGCAAATTCTTTTGAAAATGAATTAGAAAAGTAGAAAAAAAATTCTTTTAAAATATTAACCTTTCTTTAAAGAACAAAAGAATTTTTTTATTGCAGCTTGAGATTTTATTAAATTTTTTATCTAAAACTGTGAAAGTTGTTATACATCATATCCACACAACTAAAAGCAAAAAAATAACTGATTACTCGCCTCAACCCCTAATTTGTTAATCCTTATATCTTTAGAACCTGATGTCATATCCCTTTGAATTCTATGAATTCTGAAAGATCATTTAGTCATGGTTTCAAATGTTTTAAGGTTACTGAGATAGAGGGATAATACAATAAGAGTTTGAGGCGAGTGCTCAGTTCATTTGTTCATCGACGGAGACTTTTCGTGGATCAAAATGTCTGTTTTTGTAAACTCTCATTTAATTTGATTTTACGATTTATTATTTGAAGTAAAATTCTCATTTAATTTGATTTTACGATTTATTATTTGAAGTAAAATTCTCATTTAATTTGATTTTACGATTTATTATTTGAAGTAAAATTCTCATTTAATTTGATTTTACGATTTATTAATCGAAGTAAAATTCTCATTTATGAGTTATCATTTAAAATCATAAATTAACTATTTCAAAATTGCATGGTAGACAAGTTTGCTTTTATACCATTATGCAAAGTTTACTCTGACCATTGATATTGATTCCAAAAAAATTAGTAAACGGTTTTTTTCCTTTTTCGCTTAAAAAAAGTTTTGATTAACATCTTTGATCAGAGAAAAATTTGCATAATGTAATAAAAACAAACTTTTTGAGAACACTTTTTTGTTATGTGGTAAATAATCACGTTTTTGTGAAAAACCGGAGATTTTTCGTTTTTCTGATTCATACTGTTTTGATGGGGGAAACATTTAACTATTTAAATATATAAATCTATATTATAATACAGCCCGGACATTCCTTGCGTTAGCTTACAGACAACCCTTTTAAGGGTATCTTTGTGAATATGACACTCTATAAATACAGCTCTTTCTAGGTCGTTAATGAGGAGAGTGTGCGTGGATCGTTTTAATCCTAAAAATAACAAATAACAATACAAAACCTTTTCACGTGAATTTTATAATTATGAAAGGTGTATTGTATTGGTCAAAATGCGTAAGTATTGAGATTTTAAAATTAGGAAAAAAGGGGTGGGGNAAGGGCCGTCTGACGTAAATAATCAGATATTAAAGAGAAAGTATAAAATCATGAATATGTTCTTAATTAATATAGCATGTTTGAGGGAATATTACTCCCGGCTGACACTGACAGATACGTTTTCATCCTAAACCAGCTCTTACAATCTAACCTCAGTACTTTTCAATACAGATTAGATATATTAATATGTCCTAAACACACCAGCTACTCCCATACATAGTGGATTTTAGAGATATATTTAGATACTCCTACACAAACCAGATATAGGTACTCCTACACAAACCTGATTTAGGTACTCCTACAAAAACCAGATTAGGTACTCCTACACAAAAACAAACCAGATTTAGGTACGCCTACACAAACCAGATTTAGGTACTTCTACACAAACCAGATTTAGATACTCCTACACAAACCAGATATAGGTACTACTACACAAACCAGATTTAGGTACGCCTACACAAACCAGATTTAGATACTCCTACACAAACCAGATTTAGGTACTCCTACACAAACCAGATATAGGCACTCCTACACAAACCAGATTTAGATACTCCTACACAAACCAGATTTAGGTACTCCTAAAAAAACCAGATTTAGGTACTCCTACACAAACCAGGTTTAGATACTCCTACACAAACCTGATTTAGGTACTCCTACAAAAACCAGATTAGGTACTCCTACACAAACCAGATTTAGGTACTCCTACACAAACCAGGTTTAGGTACTCCTAAAATAACCAGATTTAGGTACTCCTACACAAACCAGGTTTAGATACTCCTACACAAACCTGATTTAGGTACTCCTATACAAACCAGATTTAGGCACTCCTACACAAACCAGATATAGGTACTCCTACACAAACCAGATTTAGGTACTCCTATACAAACCAGATTTAGATACTCCTACACAAACCAGATATAGGTACTCCTACACAAACCAGATTTAGATACTCCTACACAAACCAGATTTAGGTACTCCTTCACAAACCAGATTTAGGCACTCCTACATAAACCTGATTTAGGTACTCCTACACAAACCAGGTTTAGGTACTCCTAAAAAAACAGATTTAGGTACTCCTACACAAACCAGGTTTAGATACTCCTACACAAACCAGGTTTAGGTACTCCTACACAAACCAGATTTAGGTACGCCTAAACAAACCAGATTTAGGTACTCCTACACAAACCAGGTTTAGATACTCCTACACAAACCAGGTTAGGTACTCCTACACAAACCAGATTTAAGTACGCCTACACAAACAAGATTTAGGTACTCATAAACAAACCAGGTTTAGATACTCCTACACAAACCAGGTTTAGGTACTCCTACATAAACCAGGTTTAGGTACGCCTACACAAACCAGGTTTAGATACTCCTACACAAACCAGGTTTAGATACTCCTACACAAACCAGATTTAGGTACTCCTGCCCAAACCAGATTTAGGTACTCCTACACAAACCAGATTTAGGTACTCATACAAATTTATACGAATCATGTACATTGTACATGATTCTGGTTTTGGTTTTATAAAGGTTATAAAGAATATGTACGTTGTACAAGATACTCTTTTAGATTTACTTTATGGGACTGTAAGCTAATTTAAAGTGAAGCTCTATGATAATGAACGCAGAGAACTCCGTGTGTTTATCTCTGCAATGGTGTTTAAATTGCCGAACGACTACAGTGTAAGCTAACGAACAATGTGAACTAACGCGATTTTCAAAAATTCATTAAAAAATATATATTATTCAATATTCATGTGGCTTCTGCTCCCTCGAAAGTAAATATTAAAATACTTAAGTTACGTCAAATATCTAAAGGGTACTGCTGTGGATCGGACATCCCCCTTTATAAATGAAGAGTCACTTGAAATTACGCCTACGGTCCCATTAAGAACATAAACTATAAGATAGTGGCGGATTTGCATCTAGTTCTGCAGTTCTATTGGATCTAGTCCTTTAACCGTAAATGATCCTAAAGCAGACAAGGTACAGATATGCAGATTAGGTGTAATGTATG